CATATCACGGGCACCAAGTAAGCGTGATTTCTAATTTAAAGTATTGCCAGTGTTTGATTGGAGCTGATTTACTTAAAGGACTCCAATCCCGATGAAAGCGAAAGCAATCAGTCAACAATGTGGATCGGTACTGAAGACGGCTGCATTCATGTCTACAACAGTACTGACAACATACGCATCAAGAAGAATCGCATTAAAATTGAACATCATTCAGCTGTATTTTCCATACTGTAAGGACTTGATCATAGAATCCAGACTAACTCGAATTTAATCGCTCACTAATGTATTGCAGATACCTGGACAATCGTGTTTTTGTATCCTTAGCCAATGGCGACATATGTGTCTATCTGAGAGATGGCGGTAAGTACTGAATTCGGAATAGGCCATTTATTTTGCTACTACTTAAATTATATTACTTTGCAGCCACTTCTTGGAATACGTGCTCATCGCATCGTCTCTCAATAGGCACAGTGTCGAGTCCGGTGACAAAGTTGCTGAACGTAAATGGAAAGCTGTGGTGCTCAATACAGGGGATTATCAAAGTGTTAGATACTGAGTCCTTTTCGGTATGAAGAGCGAAGCCTTGAGCTCATATCAGTTACATTTATTTACATTTTTTGAATATTTCAGGTTATCAATCAAATTCAAATATCCTCGGACTCAAAACCAATTACGAACATGACTGTGGCAAATAATTTTGTGTGGATATCAATACAAAACTCAGCTCACATCAAGTGCTTTCATTCCAATACGTAAGTGCTGCCACAATATTCTGCTCTTGACTATGAATAACTTATTTTCCTTTCAACTTTGCTCATTAGCCACCAACTAATTACGGAAGTAAACCTTGCTCCGGCAGTCAATAAGATGTTGTCCAATTGCGACGAAATAATTAGGCAACATAAGGCCGCTTGCCTTCGCGTGACGTCGCTTCTGTGTTGTAAGGATCTTATTTGGATTGGCACGAGCGCAGGGGTCTTGCTAACTATACCAGCCCAGGGTTATGAGAAGGGCGCTCACAACATAGTGCCAACAGGCATACCTCACGGCCATACGGGACATGTGCGATTCCTGACCTTTGTCGAGTCGCCCACCCATGGCCTAGAGGGCTGCTCTCAAATTATATCAGCTGCCACCTCTCGAGAAACTGGAAGCGGCACCAGCGACGACTATACTAAACAGGGGTGTGTAATTGTACAATATTGTATTATTAATTTATGTACAGTTAACTATTTTGCTTATAATATATTTCTTGGCTTGCAGTTCAACAAAGAGCTCGAAGGTAAAGTCGGAAACCAAGAATATACTTATTATATCTGGTGGCGATGGCTACGAGGACTTTCGCAACTCTGGTGCCAATTCGCTGAGTGAAATCGCTGGTCGCGAGGACAGCACCAATCATTTATTAATATGGCAAATTTGAAGCAGAAGACGTAAAAATCGCTGGCGCTTATTGCTTTCGAGATGGAAAAACAACAACTGAAATCGCCTCGGGCAGTTCCAAATCTGGAAGCAACTTGAAGCTTGACAATGCCAAGTAGACCTCAGCGATTTTTATTGAACTAAGTTGCCAAAGAACAAACGATGACAAACAAACTAACGTTGTACAGACGCATGTTTGTACATATATAAATTAAACAAAAATTTCATTGTTTCAATATATATGTATATATAAATATACATATGTATATATTTAACTCTAGTTAGCAATGCGCAGAATTTTTGTATGGATACAAGACTATATTGAGATGAAAAAAATAATTACGAGTGCCAAATATATACATGTATTGCGCCGAGCATTCGGAATAAATAATCTAATATGTTAAAAAATAATCCTTTAGCTAGGCCCAACGGCGCTTTATTCCAAGCCCACACACACACACACACGTATAATTACAAACTCATTTGTATAACGTTATTTTTATAAAATTTAGCAAATATGCTGAATAAATATTATAAATAATATTTATTACATACATGTATATGTACTATAATATATCTGAAATTATTTATTTATATACATGCATATATTTATATGTATAAACGTATCTTAATCAAAATACCTATATTAATATGTACATATAGCATGTTTATTTAAATTTAATTTAAATACTAATATTCAAATGTCGCCCTGAAACATATTAAATTAAAAGAAAACAAAACTTTATCGAATTTATTCTAAAAGTAATCACTGAATTCCAATACATTCATTATTATAATACTATACTATATGGGCAAAAATATTTGAATGAAAATATTTGTAAAAACAAAAAATCATAATGTTAACTTGTTAAGAAAAAATGAAAAAAACAAAAACTAAACAAAAAGAAAATTTGATGTATTCAAACAAATAACTTAACGGCGTTTTAAAAATGCAATGTAATGCGACTTTCATGCAAGAGAATTGAACTTCAAAAACTAACAACCCATACATACCAAGTGATATTCAAGTGTTTGGGAATGTATTTACATATGTGTATATTTTTTGAAACAGCATATTACTAAGCTTGACTAATGTTAGCGATGTTTGCAGTTTTAGCTATAACTAAAGTCCCACTATCAAAAACAAACCAAAGCTACTCTCTATATCTATCTCTATCTTTTTCTACTACGGTTAATAAAGGTGTGTGTGGTTCTATTTAGTTCTCACATTCATTGCCTAACAAGTGACCTCTCACCTTGTAACAGAGTGGACATAATCAGACTATATTTTTATTGCAAGAATCGTAGTTAACTGGAGTTGAATGTTTGTTCACTCCTGATGTACTTATTATCCATATGAACTGTTTTTCTTTCGGAAGGTATCTAATTAAATTACATTTGAAATTTGCAGCTTTTTAGCTGATTTTTGTAAAATAATTGTAGCCGGCTAGCTGCAATAGGTATTTGATTTGTATTTTATTTCAATGGCATCTGACAATTGTTATCCTACCTCTATGAATACCAGCAGGTGTTAGAATAGAAATTGATATAATTATACCAGAATAAATCTGAAACAGAACTGTAATAATAGATTGTGAAACAATAACTTCCCCTTTACAAATTGCGAAGTAAGATTTAACAATAAATATGTAAAATGTAATATGTAAAAATGTGGTTATATGTATATGTGTATGTTACCTGTTTAATAAACCAAATTTTCAAACTGAGCTCAAAATACCATATATTTCTATATAGTATACAATTCTATTCTTTCTTTCGCTCTCATCGACCATAAGGGGTTAAAACTTAAGTCCCATACACAACATTATAATATATTGGTCGTTATTGTGATATTTACCTTTTTTCCCAAACAAATTTACCTATTTAAGAAGCACTTATTTATCAAGATACCGATAATGCTCATTTGCAGAGGAGCTAAAAATAATCACAATTGTTTTTAACTGCCCTTTATAAGCAAATCAATAGTGGAGCGTAAAAATAGTTATGCTGTCATATTGTGACTCATATTATGCAGGCAGACAGGCTCTGCTGTCCTGTGACGTTTAGCCGTAAAACAAATTATAACGTACTCGCTTTCAAGCGAAATGTGTCTAGGGTAATGGAGCGTACCAGCGGAGTATTAATAGCACATATAATGGAGAAATTTTATATGCTTTGGGCTTACCAATTAATTGTAGTATGCTGTAGGTGGCTGTGCTCTGCTAATGTGCCTTAACAGTTGTTTCTACTGAATTTAATTGTTTTTCATATTTTAAATTTATTTATGACCTGAAATGAGTGTATTGGCCTACAAAGTCAATCTCCATCATTGTCTCTGTGCCTATTGAAAGAGTAAAGCTGAGCATTCATATTTTCACATCTAGCGCCTCATAACTTGACAGATCGGCCTATAAATTCGCAGATTGATCTGGTTATCTTCTTTACTGATAAATCAAACCTCAGAAAGGAATATCTCTTAACAAAATAATTAATTAAACTGTATGAACGGGTATTAATCAGTCGTTTATGCCTGACTACAATGTGTATGCTTCTTTATTTGTTTCATGGTAATAATTAAAGGTTTATCTAAAAGATACTCAGAACTGTCGGGTCGGCTTAACTTTTGAATCCCATAAGCAATAGGGCAATAAAGTACTAATACCCTTATATAAAAAGCAGAAAGAATAATTTTCGAGATAACTTGTCGTTTTTCTAGAGATCATAACAACTCTCCAGCATATGCCTAATTGGGGCATACATTTCCATACATTCGAGATAATATTAGAGTGCTTGACAATTTAATCTAATAGAGAGCATGCATTGGCGCTGTCCGCTATCTGTTTGATATGTCAGTAACATTACAAATACAAGTAGCAAAATAAATTCCAAATATATTCGAAAAAAATACGCATGCGCCTCAAACGTGCATGGCTTCCAGTGGTTCATTAGACCTACGTTCCACATTTATGGAAATGAACTAGTAAGTCGGAGTAAAATAAAGCACTGTAATTCTAATGAGGCTCTATATAGATAATATTAATCTATTTAAAGCGATTCAATGCTCTGACAAGGATGGAACATATACGCTTATCAATTCCAGTAATTTTAAGCATATCAAAAGTAATGTACATTTACACATTGGTAAAAAAAAAGCACACATTCAGGTGTTAATTTGACTATACGTTGAGCATATTTACCTTTATGGAGAAAACTTTGAAAAGCAAATAGAAACCACAAACGCGATAAAAGGATTAACAGCAGGCTACACTGTACTGTCTAATCTCAAATACACAACACACATACAGACACACACACACACGCACTCACACATATACATTTAGAAACGAGTCCCACATATTGGAAACTGTTGAGGTATGCCGCTTGCACAGAAAGTATAAATTTTCCCCACATACGCACTGCGAGGGAGACGTGCAGAACACTCGTGGCATGTATCTTTCGTGTTCAAAGGCCCACACACACACAAATACACTCACGCACATGCAGACACAATTCATACAAGCATACATATACGCACGAATGTGTGTGCGTTCTCTCTGTAGTAGTATGTTACGGTTGTCAAAGTGGACGGCAGTTTTGGAAGCGCTCTGAAGCGATGCAGTCGCGTCTCTGAAATCGGCTAAATAATGTTGCATTATCAAAGAATCACCAGAGAATAAGACAAAAGCGGTGATAGATACATCGAGTTGATCATAGATAAACTGTCTTATATGATTATAAAAAAAAATCTGTGGTGCGTTCGTTACAATCTTGTGTCAAGCTTCGCCTCCAGATACAGTAGAGAATGCTAATAACTTTATTTTAATATCTCTATATAATCATTGAACAATTTGCAAAACATTAAATATCAAATATTGACAACAATTAAAATTTTAAGTAAATAGATAATTCTGATTACAAGATCTATAAGTTTTCCTAAATGCAGTTCACGTGAATGAGATAACTAAAACTCTATCAAGAGATCATTTAGTTAAAGATATTGTCTTTAAAGTGCATGTCGTTTGTGTAGTGCTGATAATGATAATAAAGAACAATAGTTAAAACTATTAGCAAATTGAAAATAAAATAGCAATATTTGTTTAACAATCTTTCAGAAATGAGAGATAAATATGCGAACGCAAAATGTTCTTAAGGTAATGATTTTTTAATGGAATTCATAAATGAAATTAATTGCATTAAAGTCAGGCGTATGCTTAATTTATGGCCTCGCACCATCCCTTAAAGCGTGGGCAGCGTAGCGCTGGGTGTATTTCAGAAAAGGAAGTTTCGAATCGATAGTAATGACAATCAAATTATAGAGCAGCATTTCTAAAAGTAGAGCGAGCACAAGGCCGGAAATGCATTTAATAGTATTAAAGCGCTCTCATACGCCAAGTAGTACTCATACTGTAAAAATAAAGGCAAATGTTCCAACAGCTGTTGTTCAAACTATTATTGACAGCTGGTAAATTTAATGGCATTTTCATGCTCAGATTCAACCCAAATAAAGTGGCTTTCTTGCCAATTTTTTTTTTTTTTTTTTTTTATATTTTTATAGTGATGTACATATATAGATATTTACATAGGCACAACACAATTTTGATTCACATACATATACATTAATAATAAAAATAAATAAAATAATGAAGAAATATGCATGGCTCTCGTACGTTCATTCGCCCTGGAATTATGTGTTAGTATATAAATATCCATTAGAAGCTTCGTTGTGTAATAAATAATTATATTATTTTTGTTGTTGATTTTTTTTTTTTTTTGTGGAAAAGCAATAAGGGGAAGGTCGTTGCCAGCTTTGCCATGAAAACCAAATGGCAGATAATGCTGTGTGTGTGTGTGTCCGTGCGTATAAAGCGCAGCGGAAGGCAAACTTTTCCACCATAGTACATGGTCATAGTCACATATGGCATGCGTGTATGTGTAGAGTTCTAACCGCGAAACATCGAGGCAACAGAGCGAATGTATTGGTGTTAATTTATAAATTTACTTCCAATTTGTTTGACCATTATTGTGGGAAGCCTGTTACATTGCAATAATTTACTATACCCTGCACCCAAAGGTAGATCGTGATGGGGCACAGACGGTCTGACGCCTTTTCGCCTTATCAAATGCAAATATACATATATAATATACTTTATGAGTACTACCGAAGGCAATGTAAACATGGACGCGATATCGTAAGATCTGCAAACTTTCTGTTTTGAATATTTTGTCTTATTCACCTACACAAAGAGCAGTAGTCACGGTATTGCCTAGTCGGTTATTCCTAATTGAATATATTTTGAAAAATTTGGCTTAGATTCAAACAGAGTTTGAATAATTACAACAGGATTATGCAAATTTCAATGATGATATATGATGATGATATACATATAATATATAACTATATATATGATATATACATATAATATATAAAGTTGAAATTAAAATTACGATTTAAAAATATAATTGATAAGAATTACCGACAAAAAAGAGAACTCTGTGCAACACTTACGGTAATTCATAATCGGTTATTCGTTACTGGATATTACTTGAAATTTTAAGTTTAGATTCCATAAAAGTTTGAATATTAATTATTAGTATATATTAGTATTATGATAATTTCAATGATAAATTTGGTTAAGAAGATAACTAAAAATATTTTTAATTTATAAAAATTGACTTCGATGTAGGCCGTAACGACTCAGCCAACTAACGAATACCATTTTCTGTTCTGCGCAAGTTATCCAAGCCATAAAAAAGACCTGTAAAAAAATAGCTATAGCGCAACATATTAAGGGTTACAGAGGAAATAAGTAGTTAGCATGTGTATAAATATGGGGGCTTATAAATAACTGCATTAGCAAATCGTTTGATTTGTTATCGTGAATGCGATAAGGAATTCCATGACACTGAATACGGCTGACACATGCGTGGACTTTTTGACGTCTATATTCAAAGGGTAGGCCTTAGAGACGAATTAAGTGGAAGGGGTATTGCCATAGGGCAGAGCTCAAGCCATGTAAGCCAAGTTGAAAATATAATGTAAAATTAGCTTTGGCCAATCCTAATGCTTACATAAGGCGAACTCTATCCATACACAAATGTGTGAGTGTAAATATACATGCATGTATGTATATGTGTGTGTGCATAAAGTCACCAACGTCACATTGTCTATCTCGCTTGTGGCTTTAATTTGCTTATCACACACACATAAATACATATTTATATTCATTTATATAAACACATAGGCAAAGGCAATCAGCCACAGCCGTGGTATTTGGTGAGCGCTATCAGACGAAAAACAAATAATACTTAATACCACATTATTGTCAATGGCAACGTCGAGAACTGTCGATTTCTGGCAGGCTGAGCTTCACCACTCTCATTGTTCTTCCGTCAGTTTCTCATTGTTGTGTCTAAGTGTATTAGCGCGGAAAAGCCGGAAAAATTGCGCTCTATGAACTTTAAATTGAATTTCCAGTGAACAGCCTTTCGCCTTTTATGCTGCTTTTAGCTCAAGTAAATAAACAGTGTTTTTCTTGTGTTACTTGCCTTCAAGTTGTGTTAATGTATTCATTTTCATCCATCCATTCTGTGTAAGTGTTTGCTTTTATAAGGCAATCCAATGTACAAATACGAACTTATGCTGAAAAGTGTGTGTCAAGTGTTAAAGTTAATGGCAATAAGAAATAATGGTATATTTATAATCCAGTTATCTATGCCGACTGGAAATAAATAAATTAATAAATAATAAATAAATATATATTGAATATATATTGCAGTCGAGCACAATCAATCAGAAAGCAATGTTTATTGATGTGCCTTACGGACTAGTCCAACAGCGATTGAACTACGATGAAAGCTGATATAAATATATGTATATATGTTTTTATTATATTGTGCATAGCTGCAATACTTCAGTCTTATACATACATATATGTATGATATATATAGAGGGAGAGCGAGAAAGAGAGAAACAGAGAAGATCTATCCGTTTTCGCCACTTTATGAATGAGCTGAAGAGCGAATTTTAATACTTTGGCTTGAAAATTTAAATTTAAAGTCTAGATTTTCAGTAATATATTTATTCGTACAGCAGTTTTACTTATACATATATGTATACCACAGCATACATACATATATATCGTCATAAATTAGCGCTGATAGTAATCTTTTGTCAAGTGCTTCAAAAAAGTCATAAATAATGGGGATTTTGTTGTAAACTACATATACTTTGTAGTTCTTGACTCGTTACGATTGAAGTAGCTGAATCCAGGAGTACGTATATATTAAGCTAATGCAAAGAAAAAGTAATATAACCTGTTCGAGGATTCAAAATGAATCATTTATAATTTAATTATTTCATTTCCTGCTTCATATTATTCAGACATGCAAAGGCTTTATTACCCAATAGTTGGAAATTATTTGTCAGGCATATGCATTGAATGAAATATCCTTTTCGCTATTTGGTTCATTGCAGGACACCATTGGAAGATGAAAACGTCGTCAAATAATCAACATGAAAGAAAAGGATTTAGAGCAATTCGAAAATCGATCGCAGCTAAGGGATCGTCCAGGGACTGTCAAGCTTGAGCTATGTAGCATCAATTCCACCAAGTACTGCTGACTCCGATACAGTATATATGGCAGTCCGTGCACAGTTGCATTTCCGACTTGGCCCATTCCCCCCACTGATGTCTGTGGCCAGCAGCTTGTTGGCCACAAGCGGCGCCGTTGGACTGAAGCAGAATGCTTCAACAAGTTACGACAGCTACTCGGAAACATGGAGCACTGGCAATCGCAGCCTGGCACTTAGCCCGTCCTCAGCTACACCCACAACCGCAGTGCAGTCCACGTTGAATGACTCCGCCAATTTGACCATTGATGCGGTGCCCACATTAACTGCTTTCAGTTACTACAACGAATCTGCGGCGGCGGTCGAATGGGCCCACTTCTACGATCTCATTTTCTCATGGCAGGGCATCTGCCTGATAACGGTGTTCTGCACGTTCATCGTTCTCACCGTCATTGGGAATACCCTCATTATTTTGGCCGTTATAACCACCCGCAGGCTGCGCACAGTTACCAATTGTTTCGTCATGAGCCTGGCCGTAGCTGATTTGCTTGTTGGCATTTTCGTTATGCCGCCGGCAGTGGCCGTCCACCTGATTGGTAAGAAACTTGATTCAGTCAATCACAGGTGTATTTATTTAAACGGCAATTCAATTTGCATTTTTGATATGTTGTGTTGTTCTTTTCAGGCTCGTGGCAACTCGGCTGGGTGCTCTGCGACATTTGGATATCATTTGATGTGCTGCTCTGCACAGCGTCGATTCTCAGTTTGTGCGCCATCAGCGTTGACAGGTATTGCGGCCCCAGGCAGCAGACCTCTGAAGGTATTCAAATAACATTTGCCCTTTTCTTGTTTCTGTCTCTCACAGATACCTTGCTGTCACACAGCCCCTAACCTACTCCCGGAAGCGACGCTCGAAGCGCCTTGCGTTCCTAATGATCCTTATCGTTTGGATTCTGGCATTAGCCATTACATGCCCGCCCATGCTAGGATGGTAATTATATTTATGTTGCACTTACATCATTACTGAATTAGTAGGTTATGTTATATATTCGGACTCGTTTAATAATATATACAATTTAATAAAAAAGAAACAAAATAAATCAATCAATCAATTATTAACAATTTTTATTATTTATGATCTATTATTTATTATTTATGATCTATTATTTATTATTTATTATTTATTATTTATTATTTATTATTTATTATTTATTATTTATTATTTATTATTTATTATTTATTATTTATTATTTATTATTTATTATTTATTATTTATTATTTATTATTAATATTTATAAACTATTTATTATTACAAATTTCGAATGCTATGCATACTGATTTTCTAACACACTCGAATGTGCAATATATTTCTCATTAGGTATGAGCCCGGCCGTCGAGACCTGAGAGAGTGTCGTTACAATCAAAACGAAGGCTATGTCATCTTCTCAGCAATGGGCTCATTTTTCATACCCATGGCAGTCATGATTTATGTTTATGCTAAGATTTCCTGTGTGATTGCAAAAAGACACGACAACATGACGGACATCCATATTCACAATAAGGTAAGCAAATAGCATATAGCAGAATATAAGCACACACATAAGTTTACATGCAAATTGTGATACATAATATTATTAATAGTAATATTATTACTATTACTATTATCATCATTTCTCAAACATTAATATTGAGCAATGCACACCGTCGATGGCATTTCCCTTCAGAAAGCTCCTCAGTACTAATGAGCTATGAACTTATTTCTCTCTAAATCAGAAATTCAAGCGTTACACGGCCGCCGATGTGGAGAATGATTACTCCGAGCAGGATCACAGTATGGGCTATAAGAACAAACAGACACACACACAAACCTTCTCCAACCAAACACTCTCCAAGGATCTCCAGGAGATTGTGCTTAGCGAAAGCGACAATTTTGGAGTGCCATCGACTGGAGGGAATTGTCAGTCTCTGTTAGCTCTGCCATCGCCCCATTGCGGCAGTGGCAAGAGCAGTTGCTATGAACTGACGCGGCCGTCCTCATTGTCGCTGAAGCGCACTTCCACCGCATCAACGACAATAACCACAATGACAAGTGGTATAGGTCCCAGCTGCAGTTTGTTAGATGCGCAGTGGCAAACCCAATCGCAATCGCAATCACAAACGCAAACACACGCACAAATGCAAAACCCACAGCAACAGCAACATCAACCACAACAACAACAACAACAACAACAGAAGCCACGCGCCCACAGTTTTCGGCATTCGCATCTCAGTGTAAGTGGTGGGGACAGGCTGCGTAGCCACCACCACCATCATCAGCATCAGAGCGCGGGGCCGGGAGGGGCGGATGCCGGAGCAACCACAACAACCAATATCAAATCGCTGTCGAACCGCATTACATCTCTCAAGAAGGAGAACAAAACAACCCAAACATTAAGCATTGTCGTTGGGGGCTTCATTGCGTGCTGGCTACCGTTTTTTGTCTACTACCTGATAACCCCGTTCCTGGCCGAGGACCAGGTCAGTGCCACCCTGACCAATGCCCTCACCTGGCTGGGCTGGTTCAACAGCGCCATCAATCCATTCATATACGCATTCTACAGTGTCGATTTTCGGGCGGCCTTTTGGCGCCTGACCTGCAAGAGATTTTGGAATGACGAGCAGAAACCACAGTTTCCCGCTAACACAATGTCGATTAGGCGATAGGCGGCCTAATGGGCGTGTCGTAACCTCAAAACCACAAAACCTGTGAAATTAGAAATTGGATTTGGCGACATCACGTCATTTCCAGTGCGAATACCAATATTGCTTTTAGATTATACAGCTACAAAATGCAAATGAAAACTGAGGACTCTGCTCCTTATTTTCACCAAATAATCATAATTAAGTCTATGCAGCTTGCGCTGAGGAATATTTTTGTGTAAACAAATATTATCATCAAAATATAGCAGCTAATACCCTATTATTATTATGGCAATAAGTATTAGCCAGACTTCTGCCACGAAGATAAATCACAACAACATAGAATAGTGCAAATGCTACACTAAACTGAATCAATTACCCACTTAGCATATATATATACAACTATATATATACATATAGGCATATATTAGTAGCAATCCAGTACCTATACACTTTTCGGCATCTGATTATGATAAGATGTTGCATTCACATAATAACTTCCAATAGAAGCAGTGTAGTATTCTAGCTCTACCCATTAGATGTACATAAATATGTATTACACTTTTAATTGTGATTTAGCCTTAATTAAACCCTAACAACATTTACAACATTAGACGTCGGGCAAACAATTTCCATTGGAAATATAAATAATATATCAAAATAAAAATAGCTTTCAGACATAAGATAATATTTAGATATTTTACAACACTTCTCGCTACGGATTCATATAGACCCATATATGACATTAAATCCGAAACGCTATCTACAATTCTCCATAATTTCTGTATATGATTCAGTAAGGAGATAAAAGCTTCCTGCAGTCCTTTAGCTCACCTGAGAAAATGTTTAATATATATCAAACTACAATTCGAATATATTTTTAAATAAAATGTAATGCGAAAATGATGTCAGTGCAAGAAGTAACTTCAGAAAAGAGTTTGTGTTTTAATTAGTTGGAGACCTCCTCTTCAGTAATCCCTGCACAATGTCACCATAGTAAAACCTACAGATATACAACCAAGCGGGATTACGTAATTATGATGACCTTTCATTTTTGTTATGGCTTTAAGCTTAAACTCAAATAATTTACAAGGAGAGGAAAATAGTCCCACTGGACTATTACTAGGATTATACGATTATAGTTCGGATGTGGGTATGGGGAAATTCCTATGTCTTCTAATTCTATGCGTACTATTAAGTTAAGTCTAAATGCCAAAATTGATTCCTGCAAGATGTAATCAAAGATTAGATATCATATAATTTGGGGGATGTAAGGATGAGAAAGGTCAAATTTATATTTATATAAGATTATAGAATCGTCGCTACAAATAACTGAACAGAACTACAATCATGGCAAGATCGAATTAGCTTCTTCCCCTCTCTGGGTTTCCATCGAGTTGGCTAATTTCATTTATATATTTTGTATTATTTATTCTGCTTTGGTACAGGCAATGCGGGCCTCGTGCTTAATATCAATCATTATAATCCATTTTAGATTGTAACTTTGTTTTAGTGCTAATAATAAGAACACACATAAAGGCTTTAAATAAATCTATTTATTTTTTACGTGCTCTTACATCTGTTTCAAATTCAAATAAAAATTGTGGACTTCCTAATCAATTATTATACACCCAAGTAAATGTGTTTCAATACGGGGGGCTTAAGGGCTTACGCACGAAACATATTTATATGGTTTTGGGCCAGTTTCTGCTTGCAGATTCGCCGACAGGTGAGGCGCCAGAACGCAGCTCGAAAGTCCGGATTAAAGGCATAAAGGAACGGGTTAATGGCGCAGTTCACCCAGCCAACCCATATGAGGAACGTCATGAGACCCTCGAGCTTTTTCAGCTGCGGCCAGAAGGGCACAAGGATGTATAAAGTAAAAAACGGTGTCCAACATGCGATTAGGCCTCCCATGACAATGGTGAGAGTCTTGGTCGTTTTGCTATTTTGAATTTTGGTCGATACGCGCATGGGAATGCGATGATTTGCCAGCTGCCGCTGCATCTGGTGGGACGTGGTGGACGCCCGGTTGGCTCCCATCTGATTACCATTCGGCATTTCCATCGACTTGTCAGCCATGCACTGACTCTCCTTGTAGTACAGAGCTGGCATGGACAAGGTCGAGCTGCACTTGGCATGATACCGGCAATTGTCCACGGAGCAGTGCATCAGCGAGGACATGCGCGAAACCTCTACCAGCTCATAGAAGGTCGGCTGATGCTTAAACTTTTTCCGCTTATCGCCAACTTTTGCCTCCTGGCATTTGGTGCACTTGACGTTGTTAGCCCCAAATATGGGATTTACATGAGATCCTATGACGCTGCAACGCGCCTCACAGCTCGGCAAGCATTTGTGTGGATTGCAGCGATAAAGCTCCGCTTCAGATACAAAATTATCGCCATCCACATCATGATCTGCGGTGCGTTCCGTATTCTGGCGGAATGAAAATGAATATAAAGAGGGGTATATATAAAAGAAGTTACATACTGCATCGTTTACGATTCGTTGTCTTCTCGAGGTCAGTACAAAGCCAATCTTGACGTAAACATATAACATGATGGTGAGAGGTATGAAGAACGAGCCCATGGCCGAGTAAACAACATATCCTTTATTCTGATTATAGCGGCAGTCAACGGATTCACCTTCATACCGATTTCGGCCTGGTTCATACCTGGATATAAGATCGAAAGAGAAGAATATTTATATGTGAAATTAAATAAAGTTACATCGTTATATATTTACATATGTATGTATACTCACCAGCCAAACATTGGGGGACACGTAATTATAAATGCTACGATCCAAACTCCAAGAATCATTAACAATGCCAATCGCTTGCAGCGCCATTTTTTCGAATATGTCAATGGTTGTGTCACGGCAAGATACCTAAGTATAAAGCAATATAAGAAATAAGAAATAAAACAAAATATAAAAAATGAAATCGAGTAAATGAAAACAAAAACCATGCAGCGTATTGTGTATTAAGCTGTTGACAAACGTCCCTAGAAACAGCGCAGCTTGGCGACAACTCGGAAATGCCATTTAAATGTAATTGAAACTTTCAACAAAAGAAACCAGACCTCTATATACATATATAAATATATATAGGTATGTATATGTAACCACATACATATGTACAGGCGTCCGCCCGCCCACATTCGTCATTTATTGGAGGGGGAGGCAGCTCTACACTATTGTAGCCTTCGCCCACTCCGCGTTATAGTTCACTTTAAACGACTCGCACAGAATGGGTCAATAAAATATTTTTGCACGGTATTTTCACCTTTTTATGCGCCAATGACGTCATGGCAGTGAATTACATTCTTTTTCCATACCGACAAATTAACGCACGGCATAAAAATGAAGGGACTGTTTGCCTAGGTAGGTGCACGAGTTTCATTAGTCATTAACTCGTGTGAAAGTCAAGAGAGAACATGCTCATACATGCACACGTATAATGTAATTACAAAATATGAAATATGTTCTTCAGAGACTTGGCTACAACAAATTAAAATTGCTTCGTTACTCACCTGTCCAAGCTTATGGCACACAAACTTAGAATGGATGCCGTGCACAGCAAAATATCAAAGAAGATCCAAATATCGCAGAGTACCCAGCCAAGTTGCCATGAGCCTGCATAGAGTATGAATTAATAAAGAAGGGGACAAGGCACTCTAGTCAGAAATGCCCGACCCAGAAATACCTTGACCTCCCAACTTGCTGTTATACCCACATATGTGATATATGAAAGCCTCTATGTGGTGGAAGTAAAAGATTCAATGCATTAAAAATAACTTAATAATTCCTGCTATAGAGATTGGGACATTAACAGAATTTAACAAATACTTATTATACATATGTAAGACAATCTATATGAACATGTATGACTATAAATGTATACATCTATTATAAATTCAATACATTACGTATATTTGACCCGATCCTGTTACATATGTTCCTTCAAAATCAATATACCCTGAAATGCCATTTTCAATGGGTGCTAGATCTAATTATTTTCTCTGTGCCGAGCTTTAAGGCCACGAAAACACTTGATGCATTCGCTGTATTATAAGGTTAGTGAACTATTAAGTAAGTTAAAGCAGAATATTAACCAAACCCCGGACCACCCCATCCGCTATTGGCTCCGATGACTCCGGGCCGCCGACGACCTTTAGATTATTCAGACTTTTACACGCCAGGCTCAACAATTTCAAAGTATGTCCAACATTGTTAAATTGTGCAAAACTAAAATTGTTTCTCCCAACACACAAAAGGACGTGCAAAGGCAAAGTTTTTGTTTAGGCAACTTCAACCGCATTTGTTGGGCATCTAAAACAACACGCATACCTATTATGCCATAGTATCTATCTGCTGCATCTATGTATATGCTTTGAGGGACCATTCGGCTTTACATTTTCTTTTTTTTTTTTTTTTTAATTTGACCATTTGCTTGTGAAAACTTTACCCTTTCAAGAAAAAAGTTTTAATACCTGGCATTTTGGGAATCATAAAAGCATGTAATTACATTTTGCGTTGCCTTTGGCTAGCGACTATTTTTTTGGCGTAGCACAAATTGTTTATATAATTCCGTTATGCAGCGAAATTTGATCAAATTACAAGAGAGCGCAGAAAATCCTTTCACGATGTATAGAAGGAGTCCACAAACCAAAACTTCCTCAAATTGTTTGTTCATAAACGAATTATATAATATGCAAAGTAACGCATATCCGAGGCTTCCTCATTTATACCAGCAAAACGTGAGGCGCACTTCATGTTCTAATTAAATCAAATAGGGATATGTACTTACCAATGACATGCAAGGCAACTGCCGGTGGCATTACGAAGATGCCCACCAGCAAATCGGCGGTGGCTAAGTTCATTACGAAGCAATTCGTGACGGTTCGCAGTCTCCTCGTTGTTAGGACTGATAATATGACAAGCATATTCCCAATTACTGTTACCAATATAAGTAGCAGGAATAAAGCGACAGCCACAATCGTCGACCAGGTCATACTCTTCAAAGTGGCGTTCATTATTTAGGCAAATTCCGTGAAGCTCTCAGTATGGAGTTCGCTTCATGCGATTATACTACTAATATATTTCTTAGATTGTAACAGTTGACTTGTACATTTTAAATAAAGATAATGTTCCCAATTGATTATCTACAATAAAATAATCAAATAGTAAAAAATGCAAGTTTAAGAAGCGATTATGTGAGAAATCACATAATACATCACTTATTTTGACACATAGATGGCGCTTTGGATGGCTAAGCCACATAATGTTAAATGTTGCATCTTTTATACTTAAACTGGTAGCATTTATAATCTAATCAGAATATTGGACGCTTACAGTTAATAAGTTTCGAAAGGGCAGCTTTATAGAATGTGAAAGAGTATATTTCGAGGGTTAACAGAATAAGAAGTAAAAGAATCTTTAAAGCCTCTTTTAGAACAAAAGTTGACGATGATATTAACACAGTGTGTGTGAGCGATATTATAAAAGATGTGATTGTGGACCGGTGTGAACTAGATGAAAGAATGGATATGAAATGAGACTATAAACTATGAGCGTAAGGATATCGCAAGGAAGGTACCTAATCTTGCGGGCTTTTAAATCAGTAAGAAGAATTTCAAAGGATCAAAAATATAATGAAGGTAGGTTTGGCTTAGCGTTCTGTGTGATTTTAGAATCATGAATAAGGTTTATGACTGAAAAAAAGTGATTAACATATATATTATTCTGTTTCTAATCCTTTGAAAAGAGAGGAAGAGAATGGCGGTATTGGACTAGGAATAAAAAGTATCAACAAAATAAATTGATGATTGTGGAATAAGCTAGTATTGTGAGAGATAATAGAAAGGTTAGTGTTAACAATGCTAATGAGATTAAGCTTTAAGTGCGAAACGGAAAAGAGAAATTCGATTAAATTCGATGCAGATGTAATTTCCAGTCCCTCTATCTACTTGAAAGAAATAATCGTGAATGAAATATGGAGCAAATGAGTATTTGATTGCAAATAATTAATTTTTTAAGATAAAAACTTAGAATTATACATTAATAGTGTTAGGTAAGCGCTAGGAACCCACAAATTACTTTTGCTTAAACCTGTTGTTATCTCAGTTAGGTCAGAGATTTACTAAGTGATGTGTCATAGCTAAGTACAGAGATAGCTGCACAAGGGCCGGCCAATACTATTCTATTCAGCTTGAGTGCGATTCGAAGATGACTTTTCAAAAACATAACAAATAATAGAATTCTTGCAGTGAACAATTTTACTCACGCTTTCATACATAAACAGCCGCTGATGCTGCAAGCCTTGAGTGGACAGCTGTGCCTCCAATGACCTCAGGGCCACGCTATAAAGAACAATATTAGAAAAGATTCGAGTTTTGACATAAACAATTTAATTTTGAATTTTAAATTTCGAGTGTTTGCCATTTCGCTTCAAATCACATAAATCAAATTGTGCACAAGGTAAAAAGCGAATATACCTCTTTCATTTCCCGGACAGCATACAAAGCACTTGCTGTAAATAACACTGTTAGTCAGTGCTAAACAATGCACAGCTTATGATTTTGCAAGTAATATTTCTCAGATTTTTTATTGTTGACACACCTTCTAAGCAAATATGTAATACACATACATACAAACTAACGAACAAAACTTTGCATATTTCAAATTGTGGAATTTGTGCACTTAAATGAACGTGTTTCAATCTCTGCTTTTTCGACAATCTGTTGGCTCTCTAGCAATTATATTTCTCCTTTTTTGTTTCCAATACTTTTTATATTTCATTTATGTTATCAAATTTACCATATTATTTGTTTTAATTGCGAAAAAACATACGATACAAATTGTCTATACAGCCCCAGACAGGCAGACAGCCGCACAGCTGCCTAAAGCAGACGCCGTTCCCAACTGACAGAACGACTTTTTGCCGCTCGGATGCTGCTGGAGGCGAGCGAGCGTAGGCAATGCTGCGTATGAACAATATATTTTATTATTGCCTGCTAAAGTACACAAAATACAGCGCACTAAACCAACAACATGGGCAAATTCTTCGGCCGTTCAACGCCTTTTCGTTTTGTTGCTTTTGGATTTTGTTGTTGTTGTTGGTTTTGTTTTTATTATTTTTAGCTTTATTAATAAACCCGAACACCCGTTTCTATTGCTGATATGTTGAAGAGATACTGAATAATTACAATACATTAATTAAATAGAAAAGAACAAATTACAAGAAAATCCAAACAACAACCAATTTTGCTAAAGCTCCAGATAAATTCCGGCCAATTTTCAAATCTTATGAATTTTCAATTACATTGATAAATATTGTTAATTTTATAAATGTTATTCCCTAATGCAATTCAAATTTTATACGTTTATAAATACATATATGTATGTGTGGTATACATATACATATAAACATATATAAAGACAGCTATTTGCCGTTGGCCCGCTTCTTGGATGGATTCCGCGTTTTTTTTTTATTTTTTTTTTTGAAAAGTAATTTTAATATATGTTTTTATCCTTTTCTCCTTTATCAACAAATGCAACACAGTACTATAAATTTTGTCATTTGCATAGTTATAAACGGAATTTGAATAAATGTTCCATATTCTACAAAAAAAAAAAAAAAAAAAAAAAAAAAAAAAAAGATATCTCATATGCGGTTCATTCTCTTTTTATTAATTAAATTTATTATTAATAATCTTCAATAAATATTAATAATTTATAGTAACACCTATTCATAAGGAGAGACATACTTATTAATTTATTTAATGAATTCAGTAATGAGAAAATATATTTGTAGACGTTGAAAGATAGACAAATATAATTGTTATCCCAATGAAGAAACAGTAAAATGCCTAATGCTTTATGGAAAGAAAGCAAATTCAACTAGCTATGAACTAATCCAGGCAACATTTATAATTCATTTATCAATTTCAAAAATCAGAACTGCTTGATTATGAGATTCTCGCTATTGAGTAAACCAAAACATTTTTCATCATTTTCGTTGAAAAAAAAAAAAAAAAACAAAAAAAAAAAAAACAAAAACAAATGTTGAACCAAATAAAATATTTCTTAAATTATAGCATTTGAATGAAAATGCTTCAAATGTTTCAAATGAATCTATCTACACAATGAGAAGTATGATTTTGGCCAAATAATAGGTGCTGAGGGAGCAATATATTAATGTTGATTTTTGTTGTATATCAAAAATGTGTTTTATATTAAAAATGTATATACAAATGCTTCGTTTTAATATTAACTATTTATTTTTTTATTTATAACTATTTATTTTATTTATTATTATTATTATTCACATTATAAGCTAAGGATGTATTTCTTCATCTTCAAGAAACTAATAGTAGCTTCTTAAAGTATTTAGGTCATTAAAATATGTTATGTTATATGTTTCAAGTCTAACCAATAAATTATAGATATGCAGGACAAAGACTACTTCTAATAAATTTTAGTACAGATGAAGAATCGAAATTTGCATTATTATTAATTGGTAACCCTAACTCATAACACAAGCAAAATATACTTAAGTAAAGAATGGAGTGGAAATATGGCACAATGGTGGTCTGCCATAAAAAAAGGCTCATAGAAGTCGGGATCAATGCCTTTATACAGATGATTAAATAAATGGATAGTCTGGCCAACTGCTCTTATTCAACTCATCAAAAATTCATAAAATTTAATGTACATGGTACGCTTTTGCATAAATTTTATGCTATTTATATTATAGCTTGAACTCTTATTTCCAATGGTTTCAGGCAATAAAACTCGACAATTAGCAGCAATTAAATTTTGGTACTCTAAGGCTGAATCAGCCTCGTCTCTAGTCTCTCGTCTCTCGTCACTGTCAACACATGCAATGGCGTCATTGTCCTTATTTTCCTTTTTTGGGAAACTGTCGTTAACCAACCAGGCAGGCGAGCTCTGGGGAAGAAACTCATTACGAGTCGCGCAAAGTAAACTTTTGTTTACATGAAATTAGTAAAATGTTTGTATATCAAATTAATGCAACATGGAGACACGTAGAGCGTGGCTGCGTTGCGTGCGTTAACTTCGCTTGTGTGCTTGCTATAGACTTTGATGATTTTTCTGTATTCGACGGGATCTAAAGTTAAATTAAAGCTACATACATTTGAATATCAAAGAAGTGTGTCTGGAAAATGTGAAATATGGGAAGAGAGCAATCATTTTTCTTATATACATTATTTATTTAGACTGTTTCTTGGTTTTTACTTGCATACGAATTTTAATTTATGAATTTAGTCAGTTTTCTTACTTGAACTTCATTTGCTTACCGTTAATCATCATTATAATATGTATTGAAAAATATGAAGAATTTTTGAACATGATTGATTATATTTAATTGGTGATGATAAAATAAACTGAAAAGGGGAAGAGATAGTCCTAGATATTTTTCCATTTTCATAAATGAAATTAAAACTTAGTAGGCACTTAATATTTTTTCAGGTTTAAATTCAATTGCACTTTATTAAAAATTACCTTCTCAGAAAATGTCTAGATAAGAAATTAAATCAAGCTCACACATTCTTTGTAGCAGAAAATAATTGTTTCACTTAAATTTGAGCAGAATTTTGCTGTAGCTCAATGTGCTTCAATGACGAATACCTTTCTCGATCGAGCGCTCTGATAATTGATAAATTTATCTGTTGATTACCGCTCGAATGGCTGTTGACGTATTACGCATTATAATTTTATTTGCGGCATAATTAATTTAAGATAACGACAACATATAACATATGCACGATTCTGATATATCACATGTGAAATCGGTGTTAATTCAAACATATGTCAACTTATCGTGATAACAGTTTTGCGAGTTGAAAACAACGTTGAATAATTTGCAATACATTGGGAAGAATGAGTTTATTGAATATGGTTCTTCTATTTAGTTTTTGGTAGACAGAATTTTCGCTTGCAACCAATCGCCAGGACGTGTCGTGTTAGACTAAAACAGTTCTGACCGAGCGACACATTTCGCTAATTTCCCAACACGCTTTGGTTAGTCATTCCCAACTTTTCACCTAGTGCTGTCTTTCATTAATGGAGTGTGTACTATGATTACATACATACATACTATATAGGGTAAACCAGCATATGTAAATATGTTAGTGTGTGTGTGCGAATTTCTGCTCGCTTGACATTGCGCCTGTAGTATTTCTCCTTAGATAATGACTCGGATAATTAGAATGGTTTCCCTTACAATAATTCGTGCATAAAAAACGGACGAGACGAGTGAAATAGCCTGGACTACTCGACTGGGTTATATTTGTTACATAGTATACTTGAACACTTAAAAAATTCCATTTTATTAAAGTTTTTATGTGAATTCAAAAGTTGATGCAAATTAATAGAACGGAAAGTAAACGACTTCCTTTGGGGTGTGCCCGACTAGGATATAATCCTAGTCCCAACCGAATGTGTGTTGCAATGTGTTTTTCACAGAGTTTCTTGCCCAAAGCCCCTATAAAAATGCATTATTAAGTAAGTAATGTTACAATAGAGCGCTCCATACCGCATAATATTCATATACCGTAGAATCCGGCTATAACGGGACTATATAAGTTTGTCTGGGGACCAGAATTTTCGTCGCAGTAACTGGAGTCGTTATAACCGGATTCTACTGTGTTTAAATTTCGAGTTTCTAAGGTGAAATTGTAGGAGATACAGATTTTTCTGAATTTTCGCGCAACCAATAGTTAAGCTATGTTTAACCAAACCTTAAAAATATTCAAAAGTAATAAAACTGTACGCACCAAAACTGGGAATTTTCGCTCCTCAAAACGGTCGTAAAATTTTTTGGGTCATCGATAATGGCAGCCAACAGTAATATATATTCCAAGTGAGTCTCTAGCGCTTTAAAGTTCATAGCTTTTTAATAGCTTTTCTGAAGTACTAGAAAAAGCATTTTCCTTTCCCTATTGGAAGTGTCGGGAAAATCTTAGCACTTTATTAGATGACTTCAATAACGCTGAAATTTATGGCGTTCATACGGACAGACTGACGGACGGATAAACAACAAGACGAACATTACACTAAACCAATATGCTCCTTCACTTCGTGGATGTGCATAAAATTAGATTTATCTTGTTTTAGAAAGAATGAGCGGAGGTATGCAAAATGGAGAGTGCTCACCTTTGTATACACTTAGATACATACAAGTACAATCAATTTTGGACTTGGTATTGACTTAATTGATACCACCTTAATCCGTTCATGCTACTGCATATCAGTTGCTAATCTTTACTATATACAGACTGACAAACACAAAACAATAAATCAGCGCAACATAGAAACTATATATAGAATATACACATATCACTGAATCAATCGCTCGCATATTTCTATGTATTCTATTTCTTCTATATATGTACATATATTCCAACTAAATTCAAATATACCCCGAATATGCATTTGCAGTGAATTTTGAATGTAAGAAAAATATTTTAAAAATGTGTTTTTAATATTAATAAAGAATTCATCGTTATTTGGACACCTAAGCAATGCAGTCCGAAGTCTCATCCACTAGCACACCTAACTCTCGGTACTCTCAATAAAATACTTCCAGATCTTGATAATCAGCATACAAATAGGCTCAAGTATATAGCTCGCTATTGAACGGCCGAATGACGTATTTGACACATTTGTACCTAACTACATACGTATATTTCCCATTTTAATGAAGCTTGTATGTGCAATGGTTCTAGCATTGAGAGTATCAGTTGACTGGTATACCCTGTAACCATTAAACTAAATATAAATTAATAGCTAAAGTGTGTAGAAGAGATTAACATGTTTCGTGACTTGGCATATGCCAAAGTAAATATATTCTTATTAAATAGTGGTTTACGAAGCTAATGCATTTAATGACTTATGTGAGATACTTAGCATGCTATATTTAGACTAGATTATTTTCAAATGCATAAACAGACATAGATCTGTTTGCTTTACTTACATTAATTACTAACTAAAAGCTCACATCTTTTCACATTTCAATTGATGTACATAAACTAAAGGTAAAACGTAACTAAAAACAGCTGTACTAGCTAGCTTATATCCATTTTAAAATATACTGGGATATCTTCCAGTGCAGCTCCTGCAGATAGTTTGTGAAATACAGCCTATGCAGGATGGGCGCCTTATGCTACATGCGCTGTATAACGCAGCCCTTGAACGAATTCATCCTGACATCAATTTCACCATCTTCCAGCTGCAAAAAGGGAAGTCAACAGTTACTTCGATTCGCTTCATCATAATTATAATAATAAAGTTTTGGCCGGCAGACATACCTCATCGAAGGCATAGATATCTTGGTAGCACGAGTGTGATATGCATTTCCTTAAGCAGTTCAGCTTGGAGACCATTGATGGATTATTGCCGCACAGCGAGTTCTGGCTACAGGCTAGCTCAAAGTCATGATAGATGATTTCCTAAGAAAACAAGCAGAGGCAACAGTTCATGTGAAAAATCAATAAAAGCAAAACCAGATCTACTTACATTTTTGCTTGTTTCTTTGTACGCGTATTCAGGAAAATGAAATGTGGCTGCCTTTGATGGGGACTTGTTAGTATTATCTTTATAGTTTTGCGAAGCACATAGAACCATTTTTAAAGCAATTATTGCAGCTAGAATGTAATAGAGACGTGACATTCTGGCAGGCTGTCAACTGACTGACATACTGACTTGGTAGATTCCTGGCCTAGTATTTTGTATTTTGGTATTTTATTAAGGCATTTAGGGCTGCATAACGTCTCCTTGTTAAAAAGCTTTAGCAGCGATAGTATTTTAGTATTTTAACTGCTTATAATACGTTACAAAAATTTGAATCTATTTGGAGTTATTAAAAGGTTCATATTTGAATTGAATATTATAATATCTCGAAATATTTATTTATATGTTGTCTACAAGCTTACGTCCAAACTTTTATTACCATATAAATTTCGGGCTATTCATACATCAAATTTTCATTAGCTTATAATTATTAAATAAATTACAGAGGCTAGCATAATTTTACTATAAAGAAGCTGACTTTACTTTTACTCTAAATCCTTTTTATACCATTGAAAATTAAAAATCAAGGTTAATGGTAAGTTAAAATGATTTTCTTTTTGAATTGAATTCAAATCTGAAACCAATTAAGCAATATCATGTCAGAATAATGATTATTACTTTACGATATGGTACTTTATATTTATATTTCAACAATATATACCACAAACAGCATTTTGATGCTAGAAATCTTTAGAAAACATGCTTCGATGTAAAATCAAACATCCCCAAAGAATTGACCTTAATAGAGATATTTCGGTTATATCAAAAATTCTATTGATAATCTTGTTTACTAAGTTTTCTTGACCTGTGCTATTTACACATAATCCTCATTATTCCGAAGCATGTTTTGCGCTTCAGCAGCCACAATTTTCTGACACTTTTGGCCAACGGAATGTTCCCTTTCAATGGAGCCGCGAATGGTGTAGTGTGAGGTGCCATGCATCGAGTCGGAGTGCTTGTACTTGAGAGCTCTTTGACGACAGAGACCAAATCTGTAGGGAAATATTATTGTAAGGACTACAGATGTATTGGCTTCAAATACATACTTCGACAACAGCGTTAGCAAATCCTGCCGATACTGGGAAGTTAGGATGGCATATAAGTAAGGATCCGCACATGAATTCAAGGGATAGAAGAATACTAGTAGGATTTTGGACTTTGTTACATTGATCAGCGGGTAGCCGGCTAATGCGGTGAGACCAAAGAATGCGATTGGTGCGCCACAACTGAAATTGATGAAGACCTGAAAAGCAAACAAATAGTAAACAAATTTACTGAATTATCCAAGGAAATATGTGAAGGAGGACTCACTAGAAGCGCCATCTTCTTGGCCACACTCATCTCGCCTAGATGGTTCTGACGGGCCCGTCGCGTCTCCTTACCGAGCGACAGATAAATTTGCGAATAGCAAATGGCGATAATCGTGAAGGCAAGGAAATTGCAGCCCAATATTAAGACCAGATATATGGAATCGTATATGTCGCGTTTCTCCATCGGCAGACAAATGCTAGAGTAAACAGAAATGAGTTGGCAACAGATGAAAAAGATTCCTCTGTAGGCACTCACCTGGTTGATGAGTAATTGCTTATGCCGAGCAGAGGCAGCGAGGACATTACGATGGAGTAAATCCAGCCCATTAGCATAATGACTGCAGCTGGCCGTAACTTGATGCGTTTATTTAGATACATGGCGTGCGTGATGGCGAACCAGCGTTCAATCGTGATGACAGTCAGGGTAAACACCGACAAGTGGCTGGCGAAGACGGTCAGAAATCCAGCTATCTTGCAGCCCAAGCCTGTGCGAAAAGAATGCTCAAAGCAGCTCCCTCAATATCGAATGACCCAAGAGTTTCGCTTACCGTACTGCCAGTCGAAGGCATAGTTGAAATACTCGCCCATTGAATGCGCATCGATGGAGGCAATGAGCAGCAGGTAGAGACCCAGGCACAGGTCGGCAAAGGCGAGATGACAAATGAGGAAGCGTGGCACTGATGGACTCTCCGACCTAAAGAAGACAATAATAATTGCCGGAATTCATTGGACAATAGAAAAAAACTTACTTAATTGAGAGTATGACAGTGAGAACCGCGACGTTGCCAACTATGGCCAGGGCAACCACAATCCAAACCGCAATTCGCAGCCACTGATAGCCCATGACATCCTCACAGGGATTTAGGGCATTCGGCATGGGATAACACTCAACATGGGGCTTCCTGTGAAACATTTAAGTTTATAAAATAATACCAAAAACCTTGACAGCCAATCACCTAAACGTGAAGTTACCGCAATACTCAGCCAGCTGGTCATCGTCGGGGTTTATTGTTATCTCCTCGTGGAAGATGCCAATGTTGTTCAATGTGGAATCAGCCATATAGGCGTACGTGTTGGGCGTAGATTCCGCCAGGAGGTTGTTTATAGTGGAACCACTTAAATTGCAATTCAGAAATTTCCATCATTATTGATTTTGTTAGTTATAAATCTGTCCATTTACCTAGGCTGCACCTCCGACACATTCGCCAATGGTGTGAGATTACTCATGCTTAAACTTCTTTCATAGTTTGTGTGCACATCCCGGTTGTTTTTACATTGATCTCTCCATTTCTCCACTTCCTGCATGCGTTGGGCATGCCTCTGGGGATCATGCCTCGACGGGAATTGAAAGGCGCAGCAGTGAAACGAGTGGGTCAAGTGAGCTCTCTGTAGGTTCTGTAAAGAGAGTAGAGAAGACGTGCGAAATATTTGAAATATTGATATTGATATATGCATACCTGAAAGTTGTATATGGAAGGTATCGTCTTCAAGGTGTGCGTATTGGCTATGTATAATACTTCTAGGGTCTGCAGTCCAGCTGAGGGCAGACGGACAAGCGATGTGCTCGAGAGATCACTGTGATTAGTAAATGTACATATAAGTTTATAGATCTGTATATAACTGTATAAATATGTTTCACTCACAGTTCTGTCATGTCTATGATGCCATTGAATGCATTCGGGTGAATTTCGGTAAGTTTGTGATTATCGTTTAATGAACTAAATATATTTAACAACAGGTTATTAATAATAATTAATAATATACAAATGATAAACTAATTGCAATTATCTTACAGCTTTGCTATTTTCGAGCCCAGAAATGCCGAGTCATCAATAAAAGTTATTTCATTGTTTGCTAAAACACTAATTAGTCAAAACGGGAGAATCAGTTTAGGAAGTATTACGGGAATCCTACTTACAGTTGTGCAGTCTTCACTTGAATGGATTTGGAATCAATTCGGGAAATTTGATTATTATCGAGATCTCTAGACGACACAGACATATATAAATTTCTCATATTAAATTGAATTTCAATAAGAAATTTGTTATGCGAGCTTACATCATTTGTAGTATATTATAGGGCGGTAAATCTCCCAGATCTGGCACAGTTTTTAATCCACTATTTATGATCCGTCTACAAAGAAAGTTGAATTTATATCTGTTACTATTTGTATACACAAAATGGGAAAAGCCTTCAAAATGAGTTACGACCTATGTTTATTTGCCTCGATGCACAGACGAAAATCGTAGCACCGGGTCGCTATCTGACACACTTCTCAAGCGATCGCAATTTGAAGGAATATCGAACTGTTTAGAAATTGAAATTTGAATGACTATCAAAGTATTTGGCAAATCAGCGCTTCGAATAGACAAGATATATCAGCCCAATGGAAATCAGTCTCTCATCTATTCACTATTTATTGAAATATTCTTAATCACTTTAGAAACTGTGCTGTGGAGCCCCTTTAATTCTCGTTTGCCGATGACACACTAAAGGTCAAAAGTAATATCTGGGTTTAATGTAGAAGTATCCCTAGTATTCATCTATCCACTCATCTTTAACTAACTGATGTCTGCGTTTATATTGGAGCAAAGTCAAAAATACTTATAGTATATTATATATGCATTCATAACACTCATTTACTTAAGTTATGCGCTATCTCTAGCTGTCTCAAGTAATATCAAATTACGAAAAGCCATGAGATACCAGAAGATTAACAAATTCTAAATTCTAAACTAATAATTTCCATTCTAACACATATTCACAGCCCAAAATTTTTCATCACTAAGAGATGGCTTTAGAATTCTGTAGAATGAAAACTATACATATATACATACATATATATACATATATATATATATATATCGCGGAATATCTTTTTATTATAGTGTAAATAAGAGTGGGCATTTCTCCAGAAGAATCTACGTTTCGTGGCGTGCGAACTGCTTGGTGTTTGTAAATATCTTGAAAACTCACCAATAGTGCTAATCAAGAGCTATAAAATTCACTATTTGTTAAAATATAAAAGATTTTTGTTGTTGTATTTTTTAGCACTATAATTGGAGCGATCAAATGCCCATACATATCTTTTGAATTTGATCTTTACTGAAGCAGACGAACGAATGAAGCCAGGGAAATGAATAAATATCGAATCATTTCATTTTCCTGATTACACAGACTGGCACAAAATCAGTAAAGCCTCCCATGCATTATATGCTATGGGCATAAAAGCGAGAGAAGCATTTTCAAATGGTAAACAAAACACAATCGAAATTTACACAGGTAAATGCACAGTCACGCACAATCCCTCTGAATTATGTCTGCTTAATATGCCCCGTTGACCACAAACCTTTCTCACAGCAATATTAGCATTTCTGCCTGAGTGGATATTTATGTATTTATTAAAATATATATATTTCTATCCCATGACTATATTACATATATAATAATATCTCTGCTATCAGTCCATAAAAAGGGCATTCATATAAGAGCGCGCTTCCATGACTCAGCTCAATTCATTTCGATCTCATGCGCTTATAGAAATTCCCTGTATTGAATATTCCTTTGAGTTCAACAAGTGCATAGAGTATATCAAAAGCTCTCTGCATCTAATTGAATGAACTGAATTCGTAAACTTTACAATTGATTGCGCTATAAATGAGTTTTTACTCACATGATTTCAATGGTATCGGAAATGCCCTCAAACACATTTTTGGCCAGGTAGCTTAATTTTGGGGCATTGGAAATGTAGCTATAATAAAACATATTATGATATATTATTAGCAATGTATATACATTTATATGTGTATATACGTACATGGCACGCAGAACCGTTAGGTTAGAGAACGCTCCACTCTGTATGGTCTCCAGCTGCAAGCAGTCTATAAATGCACTAAAATTTGAGCAACATTTGAACTTTAAATTCGTTTATATTTGACATTTCGTATTTGTGGCTTTTACTCACACATCCAATAGAGTTGGGGCGTACACTTTCAGCCCCATCGACCGCAGCCGCGGCAGTCCGGCGGATGCAATTGTGAGCCTTTGCAGCGGCAGTTTCAAAGTTTGGGGCACACGCGTCAACGCCTCCCCCTCGCAACGGCACTCGAACTCGTTCTATGCAAACATAAATTGTGCATATTGATTAGAAATTTGCAGTATCAGATTGTTGTTGTCGTCAGGAATAAGCAGGACTTTATTTAGATCAAAGCCATGGCAGTAAACAAGCTAATCATAAATTGAGTTGTAAACTAGACGATTCTAGTTGCTTTGTATAGTTTTTTACGCTTGAATAATTTAATAATTGACATTCATATTGAAGCTGTCATTCTGCACAAAATGTAGATATATTCCGATTAGGATAGTAGCATTATATTGTTATTGGAATTACTGCTCATTTTAATTATTCAAATTTTCTAAAGTCAAATCGATTTTCGTATTTTAACTTGCATATATAATTTCACAATTTTCATATTTTCTTTTTTTTTTATCGGCAGCACAAGGAGCATGCGAATCACAATATTATTTATTTTATGACAAACAGTTAATTAATTCACGCTTGGCTACGCTGCCAGCAAGCATAGAGGAAAACTAAATTACTTGTCAAATTTTAGATTTATCCTCCTGCAGAGAAGGTTAGTAGTAAACCAATCAAGGAAATTTTAGCTCACTTTATTAATGATAGGCCCAAGGGACTCCGAGCTCTTCATATAGACAAACACAACAACTCGCTAGCCACAAACTTAATTGTCTCCAGCCGCCTATGAAGACAACGACCCCTAGACCACTGCACCCTAGTCTACTTTTAGTCAATATATACAATATAAAGCTAACATAATTTGCTGATTGCCTTCAATAAAAATAACTCGATAAAAAAAACAGTTAATTACTATAGAGATGCAGTTCAACTCAGCAAGATACACAGCAATGTGGGCTGAGCCTTGACCTACTTATCTGAACCGTATAAATAAGTGTATTATTGTAGAATAATTTAATGGAAAGCTCACATTTTCAGAAGCGTGAAAGGTAGAAGAAAATACATTGCGTAAACCGATATACCCGCTTGACTTCACAAGCGAATCATCACTTAGAGATATGAATCTAAGGATACATGTCTATATGTTTGATGAAATTGTAGTCCAGAGTAAAAAACAGATATTCAGTTACCTATGCAGCCCATGAACACTTACGTGATTAGTTGCTTCCCAGCAGCAACACTTCCAGACGGAGGCATCAACGGGCGGATTCGTAGTCATTGGCGGCGCCTGGGCCAATGTGTCGAGCGTATCGATTGCGTTGCCCGCATCCCTTGGCAGATTATTAATAATGGCATTAAATCCGTCGTGGTTGTCATAGCAATTAGTGCTTGCTTGTTGAGAACAATAGACCAGCGAAAGCAGAATGACGGCCGAGAAATCAAATCTGGCTATAATCGGCGTGCACTTCATGTTGCCTAATGAGCACACGGCACCTCCAATGCTACTCTAATGGGGCTTGAGTTGTGCTTCTATCACAGGTGTATGGCGAGTAGAGTGATCACCTGGCAAATAATCAGCTCTAAGCACATTCTGCTCTTGGTGTACGTCGTCTTTTGATGCATTTTGTTAGCTTGATATAGGTTCGGATTAGATGTGGTTTAGCTCTGCAAAGATTGTCATTTAAAATATAGTTTTACTGCAGTTACCGAAAGCTACGGATAGTTAGAGCTGTGAAACGATCCGTATTTATTGTAGTATCCGTATCGAATACGTTCAATCAGATCATAGTTCAAATATAGTATTTATGATATATATATATATATATACATACATATACGTCTATATGTATTTGTATCTAAAGAGCGAATACACAAATTTACAAAACAACCTCAAAAATTTTGCACCTATTGATGAAGCTGTGAATTGAAATTTCACGTATCGCTACGAACACATGTTTGATTGACTTTTCAATTTATACAAAGTTATGATTTGATTCCGTGAATGTCGTTTAATGTGCAAACCGAAATTCAAGCCCGAATAAATTGGCCAACAAATAATAAAGACAAACAGAGCTGGGCATGTCTCTTGGATCCAGTCAATGATAGTCTTTCATAGACTGTGTCTATAAGCATTACCAGACTTATTTTTATATTTACTTTTATTGTTTTGTTAATATTTGGAAAGAAGAAGAAGCAAATATTTATTAATCACACTTACCTGGCGCGATCAAAAATAAACCAATTAGTTGCACATAAATTATAATTAATAATTCGGCGAGGTGGGCGAAAAAATCTTTATCAACAAGCCAAACAAGTGAGAATGCTCTAGTCGGCGCCGCTCGACTAGCAGATGCCCTACACTCTTAGTTCATTTTGATTATAACTTAAAGCAATCAGCCCTATAAACACCTCGTTAAAACCTTCATTCACATAGAGCGAGATGTGTGCATTAACAGATATCGTCTCAAAAAATAAATGAAAGCGACGCCGCTGAACGTCTCCATCGAATTCTATATTCTTAATTAGCAAATATTTGTCTCTTAAATACATACACGTGCACAGTTTGCTCTCTTTTCTATCTGGCTAGAATACTAAAACCGTCTGAAAACATACAGATGCAAATTTTACTTGAACAAGTATAAGTATTGGGGAATATTTTATTGTTTTTGTGAAAACTGAGCTCCAGATGGATTTCGAATTATATTTTAAGCAGGGACTGTAACATTTACAAATTCTATTCGAAAAAAAATTAACAAATATTTTTAATCATTAAAATTAATTTCTATCGAAAAAAAATAATTGCTCATCAGTAAAAATGGAAAATAAAAGTTATGATTCGGTTTTTATATAAAAAGTGATGAGTAATAATGAGTTTTTATTTTTCTCATACAAATTAATTTTAATAATTAAAAATATATTTAAAATAAAAAATTGCAAATATTAGTTGATCCTATTTTGAATTCGCCATTAAATAGACAAATACTCAACAATTAAAAACGCTCCTGACGGGAAGTATCTGACATGAAAATACCCTGATCCTTACGATGATCTGATTTTGCATAGCTTGCATAGCACATATGTATATGTAATGCAAAAAACATAAATAAATAAGCTTAATTTTTTCAAGTTTCCAACCAAATTTTGTTTAAAAAAAGTTTTTAATAAACACATTAACCAAGCCAAAACACCTGGAATTTTATTTGTTTTTGTTTTAATAAATATTAAAATTAATTTATATGGAAAACAAATTATTACTCATCAGTAATACACTACAGTATTTATTTATATTTTATTATATAATGATTTGCATAACGTTAATTAGCTTTGTTATATTTATCAGACTTTTTACCAGATTAATCCTCATAATCCAAATTTCGTAACATTTATTACAAACAATACCAAAGTAATATATTATATATTTATATAAAGATGCATGGTTAAATGTAGCTTTATTCTTCTTAATTAGCAGATTGCTTTCAACTCTTACCGCACTGCATTAACTCGTATATTTTTAAAACACTTTTTGTAACCGATTTTTATTTTATCTGTTTTTTAATTCGGACAATTACTACTTCTCACATTAATTTTTGCATAAATAATTATTCTTACATTATTGGAATTTTTTTCCATGAAACTTTGTTTTGTTTATTTTGAGATTTTATTCGATTTCGATGTGATTTTTATTTGAGTTTAAAACGCGCAAAAGCTTCTGTGTCAATTGCGGCTGCAATCATCCACATAAATATGTATTCATGAGTTGCATGTAAGTGTGCGAAAAAAAAAACATAAAATTCAGGTAGCTCTCTCTTGCCGCGGACCGTATTACTGATAGCGACTTCATGCACCTGTTGAATAACACCAACTGAAATATCTGATTAGCAGGCGAAGCTTCAATGGAAACCGGAAATCAGAAATACACCGAAATCACAGAGTCGTTTCGCAACATCGTCTATATTACAAAGAAACCCGAGCGACAAAACCGAGCGAAGCCAGAGAGAGCACGTCCAACCTATTTGAGCTAATATATAGCGAGAAATAAGCTTCGAAAGCGTTACAGGGCGCCATAGGCTACAAGGTTCTTGTAGCTTATAGCTTTTGTGGGGGCTAAGCTTGTGCTATTTTTGGGTGCAAAAGCTCCCGCTTCCATGAACCTATTTAGTTGCACCAGCTCCGCCCGGGTAGCTGGAAGAGATATACTATGCACATTGATAAAAGCCTTTAAACTGCAGCAAGCTTCACTCGTCGCATTCTTTATGCATTCTCGAATATACATAGGTTTGATATAGTAAGCTTTTGAAAGCCAAATGTTTCAGAATAGTATAATATCCCAAGTAAAAATCATAAATTTTGAACAAACCCCCAGCATAAATCTAATCTGATTCGCAATTACCTACTAAAATTTCAACTTATATTATTTCTTTGAACGAAAACCACTCCCCCTATAATGAATGTGAACTTTCAGTTTAAGAAGGATCACTCATTTGAGAAGCGGCGAGCTGAGGGTGACAAGATACGCCGAAAGTATCCAGACCGCGTGCCCGTTATCGTGGAGAAGGCGCCGAAGACACGTCATGCCGCCTTAGACAAGAAGAAGTATTTGGTGCCCAATGATCTGACAGTGGGCCAATTCTATTTTCTAATACGCAAACGCATTAACCTGCGCCCAGACGACGCCCTCTTCTTCTTCGTCAACAATGTCATACCACCCACATCCGCCTCCATGGGCCTGCTGTACCATGAGCACCGTGATAAAGACTTCTTCTTGTATATGGCTTACTCCGATGAGAATGTCTACGGCCAGGAGCAGTTATAGATGCACTTCATCCATACTCAAACGTTATCTGGTTTATTAACACAAATTGCTGTCCATCAATAAAATTATTTTGAGTTTTACTACATATTTTATACTACGGGCAGCACACAATAATCTAGTCGGAAGGCAAGACAAACAAAGACATTAAAGACATAAATACGTATAGATGAATCAAGAAGCCACAAAGTGTTGTAATAACAGTAATGTTATGATAATTCTTACATTAATTTACATGATGCTTCTCAGCCTTTTAATCCAATTTACACGGTTAAAAATAGCAAGTGTAAACTGGTAAATGCAAAACAAAATTCGATGTAAATTTAATTAACAGTATAGCGTCAATCTAAAAATTACATTTGTTAGTTAAATGCCATTGTTAATTTAGTTGTCTACGAACTGAACGAGCGAGTCAGCGAGGAGTATTTGCTATAGATCAACCCAGATTACATTACCATTTTTAGCACTTATGTATGTTTATATTTTTATATACGCCTATCACAAGTAAGGCAATTTTTTATTTTATACAACTTTGTTAACATTTATTGCAAGTCGCAAACAATAATAGGGTTCATTTAAAAATTCATATTTGGTTTAAAACGGTATCTTGGCAAATGCACCCGTTATAATTTACACAGGAACATTTCTTGTAATAATTTCACAATGTAAGATATAATTTAAAAATTTAGCTAATTCTTAATTCTTTCTCTATAAACGCCATGCGTTAAGATTAACTGATGGAAGCTTCGGATCATCACAACGAACTATTGTATTTCTGCAAAAATATGAAAGAGAAATTCATAGTAAGAGTTGAAGTTTCAACAATGTTATCAAATTACCCAGGAAAGTCAGCGCGTACGAATCCGGCTAGTGGCACAGAATGCAATGTCAGGTGATCGGCATTATCACACAACAAGCGGCTGATACTAGCCTTACGCACCTCCTGAAGTTGCGCTGGATTAAACGCCCCTGGATTGACCTTATTATCATATTCGTAAAAATACCGATCTCCATGCTTAAAGCGTGCAAACTGATCGGCAATAATTTCAGCAAAAGTAATTCCTACAATACCGTCTTCAACCGCTCTCTCTAATAGACCGCCCACCCATAAATCAATATCATCAGGCGTTCTATAAACGTGCGACAGCTTTTCCCCAACCTTTAAAAATGAAAAGCTTTGAAGGGCATTTCAATTAAAGTATAAACTCAAATAGTACTTACATCCCTCGGAAATTTATCAAAACTTTTCAGTTTTGGTGCTCCCATCACTTGGAGGTAGTCATTGTAGCAGCGTATACCTTGATCGCGACCCCGCTGAATATTAATGGCTGCCAGATCCAAGCCAAACGGACTGTGGCCACGGAACAGAAATCTACTGATCTACAGTGTGAAGACATGAGTATAAATAGCCTAATTATTACTTTTCAAGTGCTTACACCGTGTGTAATGGAACTGTCGACTTCTTGCATTGGCTGTGTGTAAAGTGTTTGCAGCATATCGTCGTAGAACTCACGCTTGCGCATGCGCGAAGGATTGAACATAACATCAGGAATATTTATAATTTCATCATGTATATGAAATTTGCCAACAACGCTAAAAAATTCAAGGCAAATAAAAGTTATAAGGCACATCTCAGATAATGCAAATGATTGCATTACTTGCCTAGAATGACCCATTCTGAATGCAGCTCCCGAGAATTCATTAGTAATAGCTGGATTCACATCAATGTTGTATTCGTTTGAGTATCCCTTCTGGCGAGGTATTAAACGGAATCGCTTCACTTGCTGGGGACCAATTAATGCCGGGAGGAACTCACTGTAGGTAATGTGCTGTATCTCTGCAATCACAATGCGGCGAGTCTCCTGATAGAGCCATTCATCACTTGCCGATGGATTCAATTTAGCTAAGATGCTGGCAATTCGATTATGCTCCCGTGCGAAGACAATGTGCAAAGTGATCAGAGAGATAATTTGATTTGTGCGGCCATCACCTGGAAAGGATATTATTCTATAGTTTTTGATTGATACAGGTAAAGATCGAACATCACTAACCCGACTTAAAGCACGTACTGCCCGGTTCCTCACTGCCGCAGGCACTCTTATCGCGCGTTAAGGGCAGCATGTCACGACCGAAATCATTAAACATTTGCAATCGACCGCCACGGAAGGTGCGCAGCTCACGTGCCGACTCCTCGTTGGAGCCATATATTGGAGAAGCATCCAGGAAGTGGGTTACCTTGTTACGTTGCTTTCCATAGCTCAACTGACAGTCGGCACTGGGCACAAGTGAAAGTCGCACCAAATTCAAGCACCGCACGCCAAAAGCACTATAAAATTCATCATTCGCAGAGACAGGAATCGGCAGGCAGGCAAAGTGTGATTTTTCTGGTGGCAAAATGCTTCTCCCGTCCGGCGAACAACATTGCACTAAGCCCCCGTTCTCATCGAGACGCACTGAAGCCGATTGGGAGACGTCATGCGCCAATAGCTGCGCGAACTGCATGATCAGCAGATTATACTTTGGATGCGGACGATGAACATCAGCAAAAAGAGTTCTTGAGATGTCACGGGCGCTTAGCAATGGAGTCCCATCTTTAGAGTGCGCGCGTGGAGTCCAAATCCCGTCTTCATAGGCTGGTGGAAGCAGACGCTCCATAGGCTGACCAGCAGCACCCCAATGCAAGCGGTGAGACAGCGGATTGTTGCATGTGCCATCCAAAGTTCGATATTTGAGTGTACCTCGGCAAACAGGCATAGACTGACAATGCTGGGCTAATGGAGTCTTGGAAAACTCAACGGGCACATTATTGGTGATAAGATCATCTAGGGGTACCTGCTCCTTCTTGCCAAACACTTGGCTGGCGATGACCAATTCGAACGCACTATTCGACAGTGCGAAATTATGGAAATCATCTTTGGGTGACGAATGAAACATAATGCCATGAGTGAAATCTGGATGCCCTCGAGTCACTGGTATCTGGGCAACGCCATGCATGAGATGCTTAAAGTTTTTGCGTGCATCTTCGATCACGTCAAGTGGCAAGATCGTTTGAAAAACAGCTCGTGCTTTTTTATGTCCGGCTGTGTGATTTTGCCCGGTTTTGCAGCAATAGCCAAATTTTCCAGCGGGCAGGTCACAAATTTGCGGCTTTTCATGTTGCGCCATGCGTACATGGGCTGGACATTGGATTTGTGGCACACATTGCACAGATTTGCAACTTTTGCACACTTTCAATAACCCCGTTTTTGGAGCTTCTACAATAAAAAGTAAAGTATTATCCAGCTATTATAAACGATTTAAATATAAAGTAAAAATGTGTGCGTCTATCTCAGGTATATCCAATACGATAGAGTGAGATAGTTATAGTACAAATTCTAGTTGTAACACGAGTCCATTTTGAAATACACACAAAAGGAGAAAAGCTTGATTAATTACCGATCTTACCTAAATTTTCCTTGACGTCTTCCCCATCAAGCAAATCATTTTTCCGTAATGAAAATGCGCCCACATATTTAAATTCGTATTGCACATATAATACATGCCACCATATTAAAAGAATATAAATTATGCGCATTTCACAAAATTTTAATATTGAATTGCATGGATCAGAAACAGGAACCAAAGTCCATTTGACTAATAACGGTGCTTCTTACATGCAATGTGACCAGCTGCAGTAAGATTAAAAAATGCTTTTAAAAATACCTATAAAATACTGTAAGAATACAAGTATTTTGTAATTACAAACCAACATGTTTATTACCATTCTCTTTAAATATTTATAAGCAGTTACCGAACGTTATAATTTTTAAAAGTGCAGTGATTTTTATTCATAGCATACGATTAATATTCTATACATTTATATTCATCGATATTACTAGGTCTCGATAGATACCACATCAACTCTTAAACTATAAAAACTGGAAAGTCAGAATATCGATACTATCGATATTCGTTGAAAATTTTTTATGTGCTATCCGCCATATTTGTTCGCGTCAGTAAAAATATCTGGCAACGCTAAAAATCGCTTTGTATAAGGCCAGCTCGTCGTCATGCTGAGAAATAATGAAAAATAAGTAAAATACACTGGATAAAGAGGATTAAGTGTATAGATTATGTGCAGAATTCGTTGAGCTAATACCCGAATGTGAATTTACCAAATACCAGGTGTTTTTTCTTGTGCACTACAGTAATGAATGATTTTTCTCGGCCGACAAGACTCGCATACAATTTAATGTTCGTACTCGTACCGAGCTTGTCTTCTCACGCGAGTTCGTTTCTAGTGTATATAGCCAGTCTATGGACGGTCGATGCGTGAATATATTTCTATGTGTAAGTGTGGGTGTGTGCTGTGTGCATGTGTTTCGATTAGTTCAGAAAAAAGCCTAAATCACCAACAATTTACCGGACTCGTTCTGCCAACGAGTGAAAAGTACAAGCCTGCTACGTAAAAATCAAATATGTACATACATGCAGGCTCAAAGTTCGGTACGGTACAGATACATGTGTGTGTATACATAAAATATGAATTTGTCGGGACACATCCTTGCATCATCATCACCAAAGGGTCAAGCTAACGCCAATATGTATGAATCTCAGCCAACCAGCCAAAAGCACTAAACCAAAAAGATAATCACGCAAAAAATTAAAAAAAAAAAAAAGAAAAAGGAAAAAAGTCTTTAATGAAGCATAAACGAGACGACGAGAACGACAAACGTCAGCAGTCGCGAGCAGTACAATTACAACTGTTTCCCTACTCTAAAAAGGCTATAAAATCAAAAATGATTTAACTTAAATTATAAGTTGACAGTGGCGATTTTGGTAAAGAAATAAGAATAACCAACAAAATAAAAAATAGCCAAAAACAAATTGTAAAAAACGCGATAGCTAAACTCGTTTTACTCTCACACTCGGCATTAAAATGTGTATGTAGCACTAGTGGTCTCGCTCTCGCACACCTTTTTGCAATACAAAAAAGGCCGCATACAATACAAGCGAGATAAATAGCACTCGGAACACTGAAAATCTGTGGGAGCGCGCAAAAAATCGTCAAGCATATTAAACAAAAAGAAATCAACTGCAAGTGGATTAATAAAACTCTATAAAACAAATGATCCAAATATTGCAGGCACCTTTTTCATTTATGGGCTTGCTTCACTTGACCAACTGTCTCATATGAAGACAAATTATTGCATTGTATCAGATGATAGTCTGTGCCAGTTAGCGGCCTAGAATAATAAAATTGGTTTATTGTTTTACTTATTCTAAAGATAAACACCCAGCAATTGGATTCTCAATTCGACTGACGACTGACTGCACGAAGCAATTTCGGAATAGTTGAACTCGTGGAAAAAAAAACTAGACATTGAATTTTGAGCTTGGAAATAAATCCAAATTGATACTAAAAGCTTTTTAGTTCGTATTGCTTTAGACAATCAGTATTTAATTAGGCACAACATTTAATATACCTATATATTTTTCAAATATTGCAAATAATACATAATAACATTGACCGGCTAATTTTAGAGGATTTCTAAGCAATCTCTTAGACTCATTTATATGTTATTTTTTGTTAGAATGGTCTGCGTTTAGAAGAAGGCTGTGATTGAAAACTGTTTCAATAATCTCAAGTCAACGTATAAAATATAATTAATGTATTATTTATTTCCCCTTTTAAACAAAAACTAATACAGACAGCCCATAGGCGCACATGTAAGTGCGACAGTGAGAGCCACACTCTCATGCAAGTGAGATGGCGTTTGCGTGTTTAGCTGCCAAATGTAAAGAGCGCGCGAGAGAGAATTGAAAATTGAGAGAGAAAGAGAGAGAGAGAGCGCTCTGCGGCTGTAGCTGTGGCTGTCAACGCGCGACAATTTGTAAACGGACAGTCAGAATGCTATGGTAGTGGTAGCTGATTTTTCGATACACAGAATGAGGAGTTACAGAATCTTTGGCGGCTAAATGAAATGCGTATTGGGCAGTTACTGTCTTCTGGTGTTGGTAGTGTGTTCCATGGTGCTGATTTTATTGTGGGGGGCTTTGAGTTAAGTAGACTAACGAATGATTTTCCAACTTGCAGCTAACATAACCTCAAACTTGCCGCTGCAGTCGGGGAAGTCGTCGTCATCAGCGTCAGCGTTGTTGGTGGATATTCCACAGCCACAGGCAGAGTTCTTGATTCGATAAGCATCGCCAGCGCAACGAGGACGCAATGAATGAGAAAATCAAATCGCCCTCAACCCAGGCGAGTGGTGGCGCAGCTGGTGGAAATGTGACCCCAGCGGTGGCAGCCAGCTCAGGTGGCGCCACACCGCCCACATCGGGTCCGCCCACACCGAACAACGGCAACGATCCTATTATACAACAAAGTGGTACTGTACCACATCCCTATGGCGGCCCGCCTCCTGGTGCCGTGCCCGGCGTAGCTCCCGACTCGGCTGCAGCTATGTCGCACTATCATCACTTACATCAACAACAACAGCAGCAACAACAACAACAACAGCAGCAGCCACAGGGTCCACCGCTACCACCACACATGCAACACCATGGTGGACCACCACCACCACAGGGACCACTACCGCTGCCGCTAGAGCATACTCCCGGTGTGAAGGATGAATACGGCTCGGCACATTTGCCGCCGCCACCTGGCGTCCAACATCCGCATGCTCATCCTGCTTACGCGCGCTACCACTCGGCTGATCCTAATGTGGATCCCTACCGCTACGGCCATGCGCCGCCGCAGCAGCCACCGCCGGGTAGCAAGCCGCCTCACCAGCAGCAGCAGCAGTCGCAGGGCGGCACAGGGGGCTCGCCGAACCGACCTCCACAACAGCGCTACATACCCGGACAGCCTCCGCAGGGTCCAACACCAACACTGAACTCATTGCTGCAATCATCGAATCCTCCCCCACCACCCCAGCATCGCTATGCGAACAACTATGAGACGCAGCAAGCCAACGCGGCTGCAGCCGCTGCCGCTGCCGCAGCACAGCAGCAGCATCAGCAGAGCGCGCAACAACCTGGCGGACCGCCGCCCCCGTTACCGGGACATGGACCGCCGCCGCCACAGCACCAGCAATACGGAGCGCAACAGGGCGGCTGGGCACCGCCCCCAAGACCCTACAGTCCACAGTTGGGCCCATCGCAGCAGTATAGGACACCTCCCCCGGTAAGTGCAACTGCTATGAGTGTAAAGAGTGCCTTGGCGATCAAGGAGGGTTCAATCAGGTGACTCCAGACATACTGACACATATAACAGATGAGAAGTACGAGCAAAGAACCAATTTTTAAGAACCTGCCCGAGCGGCCGGAAAACAATAACAAACAACAACAAACCATGAAAAGGCAACGAAAAAACAGTGTGGTGTCGGCAAGAGAAGTTGCCGGCAGTTCCCACCACCACCACCACCTGACGAAGCAGGCAGAAGCAGAAGTAGAAGGAAGAGACGCGCCGCTTGTTCGGTTGAATCTGCTTATTCATACACACACACATATGTACTTAAATGTTTGTGTTTGGCTGCGTGTGCGTGTGTGTGTTTGCTTGAGCTACTGTTTCACGTTTTGTTTATTTATTTTTTTTTATTTTCGCTTCTAGCGTTGCAATTCGTGAAGGGTAATTTGAAAGTATTCGCTTAAATAACAGTAAAATTATAGCTGGACTTGGTTAAGAACTGAATTGAGACTTTAGGCGAGATGGGCAAAGGGGCTAAAGCCTGCATTTGAGATAATACGGAATATATTTGAATTTAAATTCATAATATTACATGCAAGGTTGCTTCAGACTATTTTCATTTACTATCACAATCAGCATTTCAGTGCCGTGCGTCCTGCTGTTGCATCCGTATTCCTTTTTATTGATTGTGGTTAGGGCGTTTAAAGTTCAGCCGAGTTTGACCTTCAAAAAACGTCGAAAGTACATGCTTTACGATTGGTCTATGTGCAATCGGTGTTTTTGGATTGATTTTGGGTCCTTTGATGCTGCTACAATTGCTTATTTTAATAAGTAAATAATGTGAACAGCAATTTTTAGTAATTGTCAATTTAAATATTTGCAGTAAATATTAATATAGATTTTTAAGGTGACATTGGGATATATGCACTAAACTACAAACGTAAAGATCTTATATTTTTATTAATTATTTGCAATAAATTTTTAACTTCAAACTCATATATTTTCCGTAAATACTTTCTTAATCTTTATGATCTTTGTATATCCCTATAACTAACTTTGGTCATGAGTAAAACACTTTTTTATAATTAAAAAAAATATATATATGTACATATGTACATACATTCCCCAATAATGCCTGTCTTGGCATAAATTTAAGTTATAAAAAAATAATAAACGCACAATAGAACGTAATTTGTATACCCTGTACTTGTAAATCATAAATATAAGGTATATAGATTTGATTAAAATTAAATAATTGAAATGAAAAATAACTTTAATTGATATTTTTAGGCAATCAGAATTATGATTTTTTTTTTTTTTTTTTTTAAATTTATTTATTTTTTTTAAATGCAATATCATGAGTTAATAGTAGTTGTATATAGTAGTTGTACATATATATGAGCATATAGTGGAATTAAAAGTATATACATATGTATGTAATTGATAATTTTGTAATATTCATAAATCAAATACAATCAGTTTTATGATTTTATAAATGCAATTTTATATCTCATCTCTTCAGTAGAGATGGCAGAGAAGACATCAGAGCCTTCGCTAAACTAAATCAATTTACTATTTAACTCTGTATTTATTATATTGATCGCAAAAAAAGAATATATTCATGTCGATCAATCAAAGAAAAATAACAATTCCCTTAATGCTCAGTTTTGCCATTGTGTTTTCCGTTCGGACCGGCTTTCAATCCACCACCGTTAAAATACTGCACAGAGCCGAGCCGAGCAGTGCAGTTGTAGCTGTAGTTGTTTCGCCTTGCGTTTGCGTTTACCCGCCCCTGTTTTACACAAACGGTTATGTTCTCTGCTTCGCTGTCATTCGTTTGGTCGCCGTCGCGTCGTTCGCTCATTTATTTTGTCTCTCTGTGTGTGTGTGTTTGCATGTGTGTGGAGCACCAACACAACTTGCGACCCTTGCTGAACGCATTTGAGTTCCTCTTCAGCCCTGTTCGTCCGGCCATTCGTTCGTTCGTTCGGCTGGTGTATATATTTCTGCGTTTAATTTTCATCCATGATGAGTTTTCCCTTTTTAGTTGAGCTCACACACACTCATACTCATACATT